TTTGTTGACTCTACCCTTTATACCTTTGGCTAAATTTATTTTGGAAGTATTCTGATTCAACTCTAAATTTGAATTCTTAAAGATTAATCCTACAGCAAATCTAAAAACAGTCTTACCCAAATCAAATCTAAGAATAGTTATTGAAAAAGTCGACCACTCTCCATCGTGTCTCTTCTGCGTTTTAAAACAAGGTTTTTTCGTCCCTGTCCCTTATACTTTAGGCTGAATCTATCTTTGAATTATTCGGTTCAAAATCTCCCTGTTGATTAGAAAATGTTTATGTTTTCCCTTGGTTTTTCTCCATTGATAGACAGCAATGCTTGTTATGCCATTATTTCCTTGAATTTTTCAATCTTCAATCTAATCGAAGAAAATACTTACCCTATATTGAAAAGTCGATGACTGTCCATCGTGTCTCTTCTGCGTTGTGAAACAAGCTTTTTGTCCCTGTCTCTTGTACTTTTGGCTAAACTTTCTTTTAATTATACTGATTAAAATCTAACATTTAAATTGATAAAGTTTATGTTTCTCGTTATTCTCTCTCAATTAATAGACAGCAAAGCTTGTCATGCCATTATTTCCCGGGATTTTTAAATGCTTAACCTAATCTTCGTGAACTCTTATGTTAGACCGAAAAAGTCAACGACTTTCCATCGTGTCTGTTCTGCGTTTAAAAACAAGGTTTTCGTTTCTGTCTCTTGTACTGTTGGCTAAATGTATCTTTGAATAATACTGATTAGACTCTTACCTTTTATTAGATAAAGTTTATGTTTCTCGTTGGTCTCTCTCAATTGATAGACAGCAATGCTTTTTGTGCCATTGATTCCTTGGATGTTTCAGTTCTTTATCTAATCTAAGTATGGTCTTACCCCCTATTGATAAAGTCGATCTCTCTCCATATTGTCTCTTCTGCGTTTTGAAACAAGGTTTTTATTCCTGTCCCCTTTACTTTTGACTAAACGTATCTTTGAATAATTCTGATTAAAGTCTTACTTTCAAATTATGTTTCTCGTTGGTCTATTTCAATTAATAGACAGCAATGCTTCTCGTAACATTATTTCCAGGGATGTTTCAATCCTTAACGTAGTCTTTGTAAACTCTTACGTTAGACCGGAAAAAGTCGATGACTGTCCATCGTGTCCTTTCTACGTTTTGAAGTTCATCGTTTGATGTTCATTAAATCGTTATAATTTTTGGCAGTTTCACATTCAGTTTGGCAGGATAAAAGTCCCTGACATCCCCAAACAAAACCACAAAGTTACCCACTTTCTTCTACTGTTTTGTATTTTCAAATCAAGAGTAGACAGTCTTGAATTGCTCGCAAAAAAATTTCTTTTTTTATAGATATTTAGGCCGAGATTGCCATTAGTTTAATTTCAATAATAAAATGTCTTTTCTCATCAGATAATGTTATTAATATTTATGCATTAGCCCACAGAATGAATGCATTACAAAACTTTCCTTCCGTCTGCAGATAATGTAGCAACTAATTCTTTACATCATTTTTGGGTGTAACCTTTAATAAAGTGTCTGTGTGACTTTCTTATTTTGGCTCCCTCACTTCTGATCTGCTTCATACGTAGCTTGATGTAGGACACAGCTGCATAATGTTTTTGGATTTTAAGGCTTTGACTAAAATATTGAAAGTTTGGGAAAAATTTAGGACAAAATCCTGACTTGTTTAATTTCCTCCGAATTCTTCCAAACTAAGGCTGTAATGTGATGCCAATGATTAAAGTCCAATGCGAAACATTATGTGTTACTTATAATTACCATGACATTACCTTTACTAATGCTACTTTTGCAAGCATTTTGAAGATATCGTCTTAGCAACGATACTACCCTTTGTTCAGAAAACCTCCTCCCTTAGCTCTTTCCAACCAATGTCAATTTTTTGGCAATTCAGTTTTGAAAACAAAATTTTGTTGCTTTTTAGAACTTTGAAAAAATGTTAACAATGAAAAAGCCATCTATGATTTCGATACTTTGATTGAAACGACTTTTTGATTTCAGACTTTCTCGATACCGTTCTCCAGATCTCTTTTAATCATAAACAGTTTGTTTGGTTTTCTTCGGTTTTTTAGGTCTTGCTTTTAGCTCTGGACTCTGTTCTTTTGGACAAAATTAAAGAAAATTGCATTTTCGTGAACTTTATTGAAATATCTTTTCAACTACTTCCAATGTTTTTTTTCTTAATATCCTAGGGCTCACAAATTCCTCTTCAAAGCTCCATCAATGTAGCCAGTTGATGCCTTGAACAACTAGAAATTGGATATGAATGGGATCTGGACTAAAACCTTCATAAAAACTTGTATGACTTTTGCAGGTATGTCGGTTCCCTTTCCTTTAAATTCCAAAATTACAAACTTAAATAGCGTGGATCGTTCTGAATTTATTCTTAACAGCAGACCTTTTATTCTGAAGTGCAGACATTACATTTTTTTGGAAAATTTTTATTTTAGAACTACCATTATAATTCAAAAATCATATTTTCCTTGAGAATTAAATCCTGTTCATGACTTATTTTACGTTGCTTTTGATGAAAAGTTTCTTAATGTTGTAAGCTTTGTAAAAACATTTCTCTAAAATTTTTCTGTTATTTTGTTTCCTTCCTCATAAAATTTTATTTCAAACTTACTGCTGGTGGCTCTGTTATGAAATTTCTCTAAAAAACACCTTTATTTTTATTTCTTTGCGTATTGATTTATGATTATCACTTACTATCACTAGCTTTGCTTATGAGTTTCTCTAAAAACCAACGTGTCATGTTTTCTTGCTAATTTGCTGTAGAGAGCTTTACGTTAAAGTTGCCCTAAAATACTTCCTTCCTCTTTGTTTTTGCCTAACAATATTTATTGCTACGTTGCTGTGGGGAGCTTTGCTTTAGAATTATTTTCAAAGCCTTCATGTTCTCATTTCCTTGCCTGTCAATTTTTATTGCTAAGTTGCTGTAGGGAGCTACCCTTCACAATTTCCATAAAATCCTTTCCTCTCTTTCTTTATTTGCCTGTCAATTTTTTTTGCTAAGTTGCTGTAGGGAGCTTTGCTTTGAAACTTCGCAAAAAGCCTTTGTTCTCTTTATTTCATTGCTTGTCATTTTTTAATGCTAAGTTGCTGTAGGGAGCTATGCTTCAGAATTTCCCTAGAATCCTTCGCT